GATCGGACTTACCTGACATTGATGCAGGTGCTCGGTGTCTTCGTTCTCACAACACCAAGAGGTCTGGGAGGATCATCAGCTGAAAAACTCCATGTGGCCAAATTGTACGCAGACCGAACACCAACGAAAACTGAGAACGCAACAAGAAACGCGGAGCTGAAATCAGCAGCAGGAAGTGACGCCTGGTCTGTCCCTGAACCCTATGCACAGCAATCTTCCTGCCACCCGAGAGCACCACCCGTGGCGGCGTCCCACTCCCGGGAATTCTACAAGACTGAAGGGGAGGACGGAGGTCAGATACAAGACTGAAGGGAAGGACGGAGGTCAGATACAAGACTGAAGGGAAGGACGGAGGTCAGATACAAGACTGAAGGGAAGGACGGAGGTTAGACAGAAGACTGAAGGGGAGGACGGAGGTCAGACGGAAGTCAGATATAAGACTGAAGGGAAGGCCGGAGGTCAGATACAAGACCGAAGGGAAGGCCAAACCCCTCCACCTCTGTTCATAGATTTTGCCTTTGCATGCACATTACACTTACTGTTGTCAAACTCCCCGGTGCTGATCTGAAGGATCCTCTGCTGGAGGTTGCACACGGCCGGCTTTCCTTGGTTTTTCAGCCTGGAGGACATCATGATCATCTGCTGAAAGTCTGACATGTTGCTAAGGATCACTGGCAGGCCGAGGACATAGAACACCAGATCACACCCTACAACCACTTAGGATCCTGAAAACATTCTTTGCAGTGCATCCAAATGCAAAAATGTCACATTGCTGCTTTCCCATCCTCACATGTGGCGCTATTACAGGGCAATAAGGAAAGACAGACTGCTGCCTGCAGGGCCCCTGGGGGCCACACTATATAGGTTGGACACCAAGGCTTTCAGTAATCCCCCCTCTTCCCAGTCAGACACATTTACAGCGACAAGCAGGAGAAGGATACGGAGCTGGTTCATAGCCGGCCCGCGAGGATAGATGAGACAACCTGCTAAACCATCAGGATATGGAACCCAGCAGAGAGCGCCCCCTGTGACAGACTCCTGGAATTGCAGCTGCTTCCAATCCTCAGCCATGCCGTCATTAACCAGCTCAGCCAGCAATGCGGGCGGCACATCCGGCAGCCAGTCACCAGTGAGCAAGGAGAACCCACGTATGGGGTAGGTGGTGTACGAGAATGGACATCTGCGGAGAGAATAATAACAGCTGTATGAAATGAAAGAGGAAAAAGGTAATAAAAACAACATGACTGACATCGCCATGGAAACTTCAGATCTGAATGATTCTGGGTCAAAGACGGTGTGTCTCGTTGGGTCCCTACTCCATGGAAGACAGTATGTCTCGTTGGGTCCCAGGCCCCTACTCCATGGAAGACAGTATGTCTCGTTGGGTCCCAGGCCCCTACTCCACTGAAGACAGGATGTCTCATTGGGTCCCAGGCCCCTACTCCTTGGAAGACAGTATGTTTCGTTGGGTCTCAAGCCCCTACTCCATGGAAGACAGTATGTCTCGTTGGGTCCCTGGCCCCTACTCCATAGAAGAGAGTACGTCTTGTTGGGTCCCAAGCCCCACTCAATGGAAGACAGTATGTCTCGTTGGGTCCCTGTCCCCTACTCCATAGAAGAGAGTACGTCTTGTTGGGTCCCAAGCCCCACTCAATGGAAGACAGTATGTCTCGTTGGGTCCCTGTCCCCTACTCCATAGAAGAGAGTACGTCTTGTTGGGTCCCAAGCCCCACTCAATGGAAGACAGTATGTCTCGTTGGGTCCCTGTCCCCTACTCCATAGAAGAGAGTACGTCTTGTTGGGTCCCAAGCCCCACTCAATGGAAGACAGTATGTCTCGTTGGGTCCCTGTCCCCTACTCCATAGAAGAGAGTACGTCTTGTTGGGTCCCAAGCCCCACTCAATGGAAGACAGTATGTCTCGTTGGGTCCCTGTCCCCTACTCCATAGAAGAGAGTACGTCTTGTTGGGTCCCAAGCCCCACTCAATGGAAGACAGTATGTCTCGTTGGGTCCCTGTCCCCTACTCCATAGAAGAGAGTACGTCTTGTTGGGTCCCAAGCCCCACTCAATGGAAGACAGTATGTCTCGTTGGGTCCCTGTCCCCTACTCCATAGAAGAGAGTACGTCTTGTTGGGTCCCAAGCCCCACTCAATGGAAGACAGTATGTCTCGTTGGGTCCCTGTGCCCTACTCCATAGAAGAGAGTACGTCTTGTTAGGTCCCAAGCCCCACTCCATGGAAGACAGTATGTCTCGTTGGGTCACAAGCCATACTCCAGAGAGCGCTTTCATGGCTAAAAGGATCCATGCGGTACACAATGCATTCCTGCTGGCTTGTATAGATCTTTACCAAACACAATCACCATCTACAAGCGGCCCCAATAGAAGATGGGAGGAGGGGGGAAATGATGGTGAACTAGTGGCAAGCACCAGACTTACTCATGGAACGGCATGTTGTGTAGCCACTGGAACATTTTGGTCATTTTAATTTTGTCAACTCTGTTATTCCCCTAGGAGGAAACATATGTGAATGTTAATCCAGAAAACGAGGAAGCAAAGCAATGATAACATCAATTCTGTACTTAAAGGATATTCTACATTTTTTTACCATGATTGGAGGCCATTCCCCCACAAAGCTGCTGAAAAGTAGCCAATTAGAAACAGCTCTGTGTCCACCAATCGAAACTCAGCCACTATGTACATGTGACCCCTACTAATAAATTCCACTGCTATAAGAAATCTCGTACATCTGCTTTCTTTTCAGCAACAAATACATGGCGATCCCGTCTATCTATCTATCTATAGAGATATAGATATATAGTTCAGGCACTTCCTGTTATGAGACAACTGTCTTTTACTTATGCTCCCGTGTTGTCACCTTGCCACACGTTTCCCTGGTGGAGACTACAAGCGGCCACGCAGACACGCGTTGCCCGGGCACGGTATTCCGCTGTCACTTTCAGGAAGTTGTTCCACAGCAATGATGGGGCAGCCGACACTGGAGCAAGCGCATGTAGACAGGAAGTGGCTCGGAGGACAATGGGGTTCAGCAGCACCGAGATGCAACAGTGCTTTAGCAAACTAATTGTCCCCCAGTTAGGCTCGTGTCACAATTGTGACGACAACTCACCAGCAACAGGAACGCTAAAAAGCGCAGCGAAAACATTCACCCGCTTGCACAGGTCACTCTGTCGCTGGCCGGATGAGTGATGCCGAAAAGTAGAGACCGGCCACACTCCTCTGACATCAGCTTGAATAAACTTTACTGCCCTAGACAAAGAATACAGGTCCACCCAGACCCTGCTCACTCTGATGCGTTTACCCATACAGGGCTTAGTCACAGTCTCTATCACAGGGGTGGGGAACCTCAGCATCTGTGGTGAAACTACAAATCCCATAATGCCTCTGGGAGTCATGCCTGTGGCTGCCTTAGTACTGCAATGCCTCATAGGACTTGTAGTTCCACATAAGCTGGAGTGCCGAGGTTGCTGACCTCTAAGCCCTGTGTGGGTGAAATGAGCATGTGAGCAGACTCTGCCCCGTCATACCCGGTCCTGCACATTACACCTGTTGCTGGCGAGTTGCATCGATATCACAAGTGGGAGACATGGGGCCATAGGGATCACATCTACTACCGTTTCCCCCGAAAATAAGACCTAGTTGTGACCATTCCCAGGGCCGGTGGTGGCATAAGGGGGAGCTTGAAGAGCCGGGGGAGAGAATCAGCGGTGCCAATCAAAGCCAGCGCTAGAGGAAGCGAGGCGGCACCGGAGGGAGCAGAGCCGCATAAGCCGATGCCTCCTCTATAGCCCCGCCTCCTGTCACAGGCGGAGTCATACCAAAATGCACACCGCCTGTGAGGAATTGATAGTGAAAGCGCGCTTCGCTCATTCTGACCTGCGATTGGTTACCAAATTGCTCTTGGAAAGGCACCGCACCCCTGATTGCCCTGATCATTATATTCCTAACTTTGCTATTTTGGATTATTTAATTTGGATTTGCGTTAACTTTGGATTGTTGTACATAAAAAAAAAAAAAAAAAAAAAGACCTTCCCCCGAAAATAAGACCTAGTGTGTGTTTTTTGAGCCAAAAAAAAAAGAAAATCTAAGACAGGGGTCTTATTTTCGGGGAAACACGGTATATCCTTCACACAGGTCTGATCCCGATTGGTGGCCACAAATGATGTTATTCAGCAGCCGCGAGTCTCTCCTACAGGACAAGACCCTATACTACGACATAGAGGCGGTCACCCTCAGTTTCTTCTCTCCCAGGTAGATGTGCGGCTCCAGCAGTCGGCCCATAGTCTGGAAAGCATCGCTGCTCTGATCCCAGCAGAACCTGCCGACCTGGAAAACACAATATACACTTAATGAAACAGATCGAACACACACACACACACACACACACACACACACACACACACACACACACACACACCGGGGCCAGGTGCCGATGTACTGGCCCAAATGCTCCCATGCCTATCCCCATACCCGGGCTTCTGGTATCAGGAAGCCAGGCGGTGAGTCATTACAGGCTGCCCGGCTTCCTGATTGGCCAAGAAGCCAGCTCCATGATCCCTGCGTGTAATGACTTGTGTCCCGATTGGTCAGGAAGCTGCCCAATCAGTAAGCAGGACGGCGAGTCATTACCTGCCCCCGATTGGCCAGAAAGCCGGCTTCATGCTTACTTGCCACCTGGCGACGAGGGACAAGGGAATAAGCTTCCCAGCCAATCAGGTAGCCGGGTAATGACTCGCCGCCCGGCTTCCTGATTGGTCGAGAATATGGCCAGTGCCGGTGTCTCTGCTTTAACTCTTCGGTTACTGATGCCGGTGAGAAGCCGATGAAACAGATCTCTGCTTCATCAGCTTCACTGGGGGTCCCTAGGTGACATCAGGGGTCTTAGAGACCCCCTGATGTCCCCATAAAGAGGACCTGTTATTTGAATTGGCTATCACATAGGGGGATTCTTAGTCCCCTATGTGATAGCAATAAAGCTAAATGTTAAAAAAAAAAAAAAAAAAAAATTAAAGCTAAAAAGAAAAAATTGTCACAAAAAAATAAAATGTAAAAATAACAAAAACAAATTCCCCCGCCCCCCCACATACACACGCAAAACATACATCGGGTGCGCCAACGACGATTCCGCCTCACATGTCGCCGCGAACGTCGCAGTGAGAGCAATAATTCTAGGCCCATCAATCACTGATAACACTAAACTGATGAGCAGTAAAAGCGTTTAAAGCGTCGCCTATGGGCGGTTTTTGGGTATGGTAGTTTTTTTGCGATTTCGCGCCATTTTAAAGGCTTGACATGTTTGGTGTCTATTTACTCGACGTGACCCCGCCTTTTATATTTTACCAAAATAATTGGGTAATAATAAATGTTTACTAACCTTTCATAGGGAAACGGGTTTTTTTTCCAAAATTTAGGGTACCTTTTTTCTTATATAGTAAAAAATAACCCCCCCCCCTCCCCTCATGGTCATTAAATACCACCAAAAGAAAGCTCTATCTGCCCCTAAAATGGTATAAAATTCATTTCAGTACAGCGTTGCATGGCATGACGGAATAAACGTCAGTCAAAGTACCGCAGCGCTGAATACTTGATGCCCTCCTTGCACTCTGCCCCAGCGGACTGGGCACGGACAGTGCCGGGTCTGCCGTTTACCCGCCGGGGTCTGCCAGCTGTGAACACGTTGGTGCTTCCATGTTCATTCATTGCAGAGGGCAGGGAATGGAGATGGCCCCTCCTACTCACCATCCTAACAATGACCGCTGTGGTCTGGGGCAAAAATATGATGGCGGTCTCAGCAGAAACTAGGGATAGACTAAGTACACTCCGTAATTCAGGCAGTCACCCTCCAAATCCATTACCCTGAGGGGGAGGGGCCTTCCCATTCCATTACCCTGAGGGGGAGGCACCCTCCAAATCCATTACCCTGAGGGGGAGGGGCCTTCCCATTCCATTACCCTGAGGGGGAGGCACCCTCCAAATCCATTACCCTGAGGGGGAGGGGCCTTCCCATTCCATTACCCTGAGGGGGAGGCACCCTCCAAATCCATTACCCTGAGGGGGAGGGGCCTTCCCATTCCATTACCCTGAGGGGGAGGCACCCTCCAAATCCATTACCCTGAGGGGGAGGGGCCTTCCCATTCCATTACCCTGAGGGGGAGGGACCTTCCCATTCCATTACCCTGAGGGGGAGGGACCCTCCCATTCCATTACCCTGAGGGGGAGGCACCCTCCCATTACCCTGAGGGGGAGGCACCCTCCCATTACCCTGAGGGGGAGGCACCCTCCCATTACCCTGAGGGGGAGGCACCCTCCCATTACCCTGAGGGGGAGGCACCCTCCAAATCCATTACCCTGAGGGGGGAGAGAATCCTTCCATTGCATTTCCCTAAGAGGAAGGGCCCCTAAAATTCCATTACCCTGAGGGGGAAGGACTCACTAATTCTATTACCCTGGGGGTGGGGGACCTTTCCAATTATCTTAACCCATGGGGAGAGAATTCCTCCAATTCTATTACCCCTCAGGAGGGGGGTTCCTCCAATTCTATTACCCCTGTGGGGAGAGAACTCCTCCAATTCTATTACCCCTGTGGGGAGATAACTCCTCCAATTCTATTCCCCCCGGGGAGAGAACTCTTCCACATCCAATACCTGGGAAGAGCTGCCCCTAAGATTCTATTACCCCGGTGGGGAGGGCTCTGCAGGAAGTGCGATCAGGAAGACGACCCCCCTACCGAAGACACTTACCGATGTTGGGGTAATGGCGTGGAACTGGCGCTGGCTCGGTGCTCTCCCATCTCTCTGCCGCTCTGGTGTACAGAGGGACGAACCTCCTCTGCGGGACAGAGAGACGGACATATGTCAGTCAGTCCATCATTCCGGAACTCTCTTAAACTCCATATTGTCCTGCTGCTTACCTGTTGGGGATCCCTGACGTCTTGCTGAACTCTGTCATAGCCCCCCCACCCCAGGGTGGGCGCAATGCCCGATGATTCCTGGACGATGGGACCTTCATGGTAAAACCCGGGGAACAGGACGCGCGGGTACTCCATCCACTGCAGATACGCAAAGCATAGAAGAGTCAATGTACAGCATGCATGCACCCCCCCCAATACAGACACCATGACACATAGATCATGTGATCCCCATTTTAAGGGGGGTGGGGGGGGTCTCCATAGGAGTGGTGCCCCCCTGTATGGAAGGTGTGAGAGTTAGGGCACCCCCCCACTATAAGCACGGAGGAAGGAGATGCTGGCCTCCATTATGAAGGGTGACACCTCTACTATAGTTGGCATGGGAAGGAAAGGGGATAGGGGGGTACCCTCTAATACCCAGAGCAAGATTAAATGGGGGTTCCACTTTAAGGAGATGATAACGTTCGGGTTCCCCGATACTAACCAATCACAACGCAGCTCTTCTCATGGTCGCTAACAGCAACACCGCCGTTGTCACACGTGCTTACAGCTCACTCAACTCTCTTCCGGCATCCTAGGCCCGCCCACTCAGCCTATAGGAACGCTGGGTCCCGCCCAATTTCAACCTGGCTCCGCCCCGCGCGCTCGACGTGCGGCCATCTTGGTACACCTGAGCGCGGAGGAGGAGGAGACGTTGTAGAGAGAGCGGTAAGATGGAGGCCTGACTTGTGACCTGTTCC